AGCACTCAGACACACATGGACACAGTTGTCGACGATTCACGGCTGTACTAGAGTATTACTATGTTCGGTTTTTGGTCGTTTTTTATCAGGCACTCAACTTGTAAAACAAACCAAACTAAATCTATGAGATTTGGGGAGTAGTCTGTCAGGGGAATTCCACGGTTTTGCATGTCGAACACATCAGTTGTGTGGAATTATATTAAATTAAATTTGTTTACCAAGAAATTATATTCCTGAGAATCCTTACAAGGAGTTTCATAGAACATAGTTTGCCTCCTCTTTTCCAGCTTTCTAATCAACGTCAATTGCTATTTATAACTGCAGTTACCGAAAGCCAATAATTTCTATAACCATTATTTATATAAAAACTCAAGTAGAACAATCTTTTAGATGTCAGCCACTTCAAACCATACAAAGTACTCCAGCAGACCAAATACAATATCAATCAATTTATCGACTATATTTTCTATGAAGAGAATTGAACCTTTTTGGGATCAAAGAGTCGAAAGACAAACCGTCTACGATTGAACCTTTTTGCGGTCTATTTATAGTAAATTGTTTATTTTGAATGTGCAATCAACCTCCGGACTGCCGACTGCCTGCCGTGTGCCTCGATAAGATTACGGAAAAGTCAGCAATATATAGATATATGTATGCGATATCTACGGGGAAGTGGTAAACCATATGGGAGATATCTGTATAAGGTTTCCAAACCGAAATTATAATATCTTTGAACTTCAATGTGGACTGTCTGTAACCGGGCGAGTTAATTTGGGTTTGTTTATGAATCGGTTTTAGATCTCTTCGATTTGCATACAACTTAAATATCCATTTGTCATGTGCGGGAATTTGTGTACTCATATGCCAAATGTAGGTACATATTAATTATGAATTTTTAATTCATTTAAATTTAGACAGCCATGAAAAACCACAATTAAAAAAGTACACATGAGGAAAGTAAACACTTAGTTCCCCTGACACGTGCTCTACTGTCTAGACGATGGAACGATGGGGAAAGCAAAGTTTAAACTTTATCCCTCATCAGGGCGTAGGAAAACAGTCTCTGAGACTACCCCCAGGGACCATGCGGTGGCATTTATGGCACGCCTGTTAAGTTCCGTGGATCGTGGCCACCAGCAGGCGTCCAACGAACTGTAATTAAATCCCACGCTTAAACGGATTAAATTCATTTTTTTCTGTTAAAGTGCCAGTAAAGAAATGGGGAAATATGAAACAAAGCGATTATAAGGACTTATCACAAATCATTTAATTGAAAGATATAAAAAGGTTCTCAAATTGAAGAACTGTATATAAAAGAGAGTAAAATAAAATGCAACCTTTGTGTTTTTTTCTTAGCTTGTCTCTCGCTCTCAGTATCCTGGAAAAACTCGAACTTAAAGTCCATTTATGTGATTAAACTCAGCTTCTGTTGACAGAAAGTATGTACTTTCTTTCATCGCGTAAGCCAATCCCCAACTAGATTTAATTAAACACTAAAAAAAACTACAGAACAAATCCACAAAAAGCCAGAGCCATTTTATGACCCCACCATTTTATGGTTTGTTTTTCTCTCTCGCGCTGGAATATTGAACCGCTTTCATGGTCAATTAAATTGACTTGAAAAAGTTTTCTTTCTGCACCCACATATCGTCGAAACCATTTGAAAACTTACCACACAGCAGTAAACTTCCATCAATTGTGCGACCCAAGCACAGGGCAGGCAAAAAACTTTAATCTCTAAAAAATTCCCAGCTTAAAGAAGCTTCAGCTGAAAGTTTATTTTATTTTGCTTGCCTAACCCTTTTCTACAGAAATTGTTCATATTTGTTCGGGTATCGTTTTACCAATTGATTAATTTGTATATTTATACCATCACGTGGCCATGTCCGACATGGGTGTGACCATTGGCCTGGCTCTGTCACAGCATTATGTATACGTAGTGTGGCCTTTGGCCTGGAATATGCTGCATACTTCAGTGCGTCGTCAGCGGATGTCATTTTCACTTAGAAGTGGACGGCAAATAGAGCTTAAAATGTATGCTAAACATGGCTAAAAAAGTCAACGAACGAGCGGAAGTCTGTCCGAAGCAATCACAAAAATGTGCACTGAACATGAAGAGGGAACTGGATAATTGATGTTTTTCCACACAAGGAGAAAATTGAAGCTGGTCAATCAATTATCATAATTACAGTCAGACGGAATTAATGTAGTGCAGATTTTTTTGCCGATTTTATTTCAATTGGGAAAGGTCAAAACACATAAATCCTTTAGTATTCATATTAAATGATGCACCTGAAAAACCTCTAGAAGGGATTCTTCCATGACAAGTGACTTTAAATTTAAAAAAAGAGTTTCTTAGTGGGAACTTTGGCTGTTGCATCGTCCGGAATCACTAATATTCCATTAAATTATAATATATTTTCCCTTTTTCTAAGTCCTCCTGTTGACTTTTATTACCCAGAGCCAGCAAATCTCATTTTGTGCTGGCATACGAGTACTTTTATCCACACCAAACACAAATCCCTACCCAGCTAAGCATAAAAAGAAAGCGCTTCAATGATTTATGCAAATTCAATATAAACACAATGCGGCGTATGAGTAATATGCGTGGCAGCTACAAAGTCAAGAGCGGGTCAAATATTTTATGAATTCCGGCTAGGGGTTTATACTACGACTAAGTAACCTAGTCTTTGTCCTCATCTATAGAGCAATTTGCATTTTGGTATATGTTCTATTTTAATTTTGCCAATGGCACCAACATAGTTGCCAATATATGCCCTAGGGCATAATGTTGTTTTGCAATCATTTGCTTTTATCCCAGACAGATGGAGGGGGTGACGGAGGGGGAGTGCTGAAAGTCCTTTCAAAGTGTGAGAAAGTGAATTTGCATGAGATGTGGCATAGGAGGGGCGTGTCAACGGTTGGGTATCCCTGTCAATGGGATGCTATCCACGGAATGCTTTCGGACTAGAAATAGAGATAGATGAAAAAAGTATCTTACCTACGCTTTTGTCTGGAAAAATATTTCAAATGCTAGATAACAATGCAAATTGCTTGTGTAATTTTTCCTTTAGCCAATTTTTGCCTTTCTTACTGAACTATTTGTGCTCGGGACTTGTGCTTTGAAACTTTAAAATATGCTTCCTTTGATACACTCTTTAAAGAGTTTTTTTTAGATATTTTACAATTCAACACAAAGTTTAAAGTTAGTTGAGTAATTTTATTTGTTACTTCATTTAAATATTGTTTCATCTACATTTAATAATTCATGCCTTTAACTTTATACATTTTTTTCACAAATATTCCATCTATTGCACTAATTTATTTTTAATATTTTTCACTCTAGTATTGTTTTTGCGGTTTTCTTTCAGAAGGCCCGTGCCTCACACTTTCCATATTTATTCCACATTCAATGCATATTTTTTCTGATGCCTTTTCACAATTTGACAGCGGCGAACAAATTTTTCTTTCTTTTGTTTAAACTAAACTGCACCACAACACCAGTCCAGTCACACCATTTCAGAGCCAAAAAAGAATATATATTTCATGCAATCAGCCGCATCAAAAAAACGTACGAAATAAATTCCGCGCGCGATTTATTCCCATCGAATAAGAATTTTGTTTTGTCGCCCGCTTCAATGCGCACCCGTTGTCGAAATTGAACTGAAATTCGCGGTCGCTTGGGTAAACTGTTCACTTTGTTATTTTTCCGCTCTTCATTATTGGCCAAACTATTGAAAAGCTCGACCAGAGACCTTTTTGTGGAACATTTCACCAATGCAGCGGCACGCACACAAAGATACAGACACACAATCTCAACAATGCTCCATGTTAACTGATAAGAAAGCCTGCTGATAACAGCTGGTCTTAACAGTGCCATCTCTGTTAGCCCGCTGCTGGGTCTGTTATCTGCAGCTAATGTCAGTTGCCTGATAGGTGAGGTGTACATAGTGTGGGCCCAGAAACGCCCCCCAATTAACGCCTTAGCAATGTGTGAAAATAATATAGATAGTGTGGGGGATAAAGAGAGTACATAAAGTATGGGGAATGGTGTACATAAAAAAAGTGCAAGGAAAGTACAGCGATAGGACAGTTAAGTATAAAGTAATTTGTTCTTAAATGGGCTTTATATTCTCCTATGGCTTAAACCATCTCCTACGTCCAAGCCATTATTCTAGTTTCTTGTTTGCGCCTTTGTTCTATTTTGTAATTTTCCATTTTCCTTTTTATCTCCCTTTTTCTTGTACCCATTACGCGTTAAATGTTAGGATATTATTTGTTTGGGTGGAAAGTGGACAGCTAGCAGGATGTGTTTCCTGTTGCATATTCGCTTACACATTTTCTTTAGTGAATAGCAGACTTCACTGATGCTCTCCTCCTTAGACTATATCCTGTAATAGGGTATCCTTAAGTGCAATATACCACTACACCACAAGAGCACTCAAACATATTTTCATTTGCAAATGCTTCTGTTGGACGCACACCGCGTATACGCAATGTCATTATGGGCACATCGCTCAAACGGCACAGCATTGTGGGCCAGAGCACGCATTTTGGCTGAAAACGGTTCCTGGTCCGCTCTCTGGGAGTGTTGAATGCACAAAAACTAATAGCATTTTAAGCAGCGGCAGCACCAACATAAGCAGCAACAACGGCAGCAGCAGCCGCTTGAACGATGCTCGCAATTGTTGTTTGCCCAACAGGAAACTTTTTGCGTTCTCATAAGTGGGTGGGTATTGTGGGTGAGCTAGTGTCTGGCTGGGAAACAGGAAATGGTTTTCAAGTGCGCTTAAATGCTTTTCCTGTTGTCCTACTTATGACTGAGTAAGCAATTATTGTATAATTATGATTTAATGCGTCTTTTTTACAAAAGGAAAATGAAACGAAGAATGAAATGAGATTCCATGCAGTTGGGGATAGGGATTGGATATCAAATGAAGGCTGCATTTTCATTCTTTGCATGCTCTGATTATGTTTGGGAAGCTTCTTCTATTTTGACAAGTTTTATCCTTGATGTTCATACGTTTATTTAATTATATTATCTCTTGTGATCAAGCGCTTAAGGCTGACTGAATGGGTTAAAGCTTTACAGAGCAATGTGAGTGAGTGTTTTGAGTGTATTCGTGAGTGTTTTCGTGTGTGCATGTGTGTGTGAGTGTGTGTAATTCTACGCAGACATTTATAAGTATTCAAAGTGTATTTGGTTTTGGACATTTTTGCAATCATGAATACAAAATGAGAATAACTAACAATTATCATTTACTTAGAACTACATAAGCTGTGCATGTGTGTGTGTGTGTGTGTGTGTGTGTGTTGTGCGTGTGTGGCAGGTGCCGCGTGCCACCATCGGTTGCAACCACTGTTGTCATCGTCGGCGTCGTCTACTGAATGGCATTGCCATCATCATCGATCGCCTTGAAGATAATGCCATAGATATGATCGACCAGTTTGGCCCACGTGGCCGCTTGGCTCTCGTCCAGACTGCAGGCGGCGGTAAGCACTTCCAGAATTATGCCTTTCAGTTGCTAAAAGATATAGAAAGAATATTAAATATAGGAAATACTGATGCACAGATAGATCTGCATCTTACATTGTACGACTCCTTGGAAATGGTACGGGGTATATGACTGACGGCTATCTTTGTCCAGATCTCATCCAGCTTCTCCACATCCCCCTCCTGGCCGAGGACCCGGATGGAATCGTCAAAGACGCGTATGATCCGGCCAGCATGTGCCCGAAAACGTGAATTACCCTAGAAAATATACAAAAATATTACTATCCAATATTAATTTCAGGAAGTACCAAAAACTTACACTTAGCTCATCCACTGGCACATCGCGAAAGGGAAACTTCTCCAAATTGGACGGAAAACGATTGAAGAACTCCTGCAGTATGGCTGCACCCGAATCTGTGGGTGTTGCCACGGGTATCTCCCAGGTCTTTTTGATCACTTGCACCTCATCGCTGTTCATGTTTCTGCTCCGTTTCGCTCAGTGTACGTAAACTCTTTCTAACTATCGCTCTCGCTCTTCCTCTCTCTCTCTCTCTCTCTCTTTCAGGTGATGGCCTCTCTCTTTTGTTGGCTCTTAAGCTGAAAATTTATAGAGAGCAAAAATATAATATTAAAATCAATTATTATCCTCGCTCTCAGGCACCTCTCATTCATTTCTTTCTCTTTCTATCAAACATGAAATCAAAACAACAAACAGTGACTTATATAAATATGCGCACAGCACGTGCTAAAAGTCAATGCCTTCGCCATGTCACGACAACAACAACAATAACAACACCATGGGCATCATCAGCATCATTATTTCCGAGCACAAATTAACGTCTGTCAGTCTGAAGCAGAAGCAAAATCGCAGGCCCAGTCTCAGCACCCAAGCCCCCAAAACAACGCCTCTGCCCACAACCCCCATTCAGCATCAACATTCCATCATCAGAGACGAGGATTAGGGATGACAACGTGAGTTGGTGATGCTTATGGATGGGTGAGCATTGTTTATGGGATAGAGACATATATAGATACTCTACTACTCGTATTTTAGGGATAGGGATAGGATTCAGAATCGGATTTGAACGTATTAAATAATCTGGATGGAACTAATGAAAGCTTGGCTAAAGATACGATAGTATTACTCACCAAGAGTAAAGATTAAGGATTTAGGAAGACAGCAAAGGAATAACAAGCAAATCGATCATAAATTCCAAATAAAAAAGCTCTTAAAACATTCTGCCCTTTTCTATAAGAAACCCCATTAAAATATCGCTTTATGTAATGCTCGCCCCATCACTAAATACCTTTTGGCAAAGGCATGGGCATGGTCTGCTCTCGAGTTCATTAGCTGACCCTCTACCCCTTCCCAGCCATTCCACTGCCGTGCCGAGCCCCAGTCTGCCCTCAGCTGACCTCCCCTGCCTGCCAGTGCCACTTTGGCCGTGTCTGTGTGGCACCCATCACCGTGGATACTTTGTGGCTGGCACTCGTTTACAAAAAATTATCATACCCCTTTAGCTATGCCCCACTCGAGTGAGATGTGAGAGGTGAGAGTGGGATGGGTCGGTCTGACAGTGGGAGTGAAATTTCTCGATGCGGAAAACGGAAATGTAAGCCGCAAGAGAGCAAAGAAATGCGAACAAATATGCGAACACGCGGGCGGGAGGTCCGTCGTTCGGTGTCGGTCACTCCCATTAGAAATGATTATTGAGTGAAATTATTTAAAGAAGTAAATATTTGTTTGAAAAGCAGTAACGTATATATTTTGGAAAATGCAAATGAAACAGAAGGCAAAACAAATCTAGATTCCCACTCATTTCCATGCAAATCGCAAATCAATCTAGGAGAAATGCATAAATATTTATGAGGAGAAGAGCCCACAGGAAAATTCACATTTAACAAACGAAATTTTGATGAATAATAAATAGAGATGAGTTTTCCTCATTCTCATGTTGTGGTTGTTGTTGTTGTTGTGGTTGTGGTTCTTGGTTTGGCTTTTCCGCTTTCCTTTAATGACAGAAACACTTAGAGTAGTATCCTAAAGGCATGTCAGCCGGCCCAAGGAAAGTTGTTTTAAAAAGTAAACTCAAAAGTTTATTAAAAATTTACAAACTGAAAGAGGGACAGAGGGAGGGATAGATAGACCACACGTAGAGGAGAGTGTGGGAAAGAGAAAAGCTAGAGTAAGATAGAGCAACCGAGTGGCAACGTGAGAGGAAGGAAAAGAACAGTATAATAAACAGGCAGAAAAAAACAGGGAAATGGACTCAAGTGCAACCGCAGCAGGTGGCTGACATCGTATTGTTGCTTGGAAAAGCAAACAAGGTGGCGTGGAGGGTGGAAATGGGGGAGGTGTAGACCTGATGGTGGCAAGATGTCAGTGCAGGTGGAGAAAGGGTGGAGGTGGAGGCAAAAAGATAGTACAATAAAAAATTGTGCCATCTCTCAGAGTAACCTTGTCTACAAGACCCCCTTTGGGGCACAAATACAAATACTCTTAGAGAGAGATGTCTCTGTGTATGTGTGAGGGGCACATATGTCTTTCACTGTGTGCGTGTTTTGTAATATCCTTCATGCCCAAATGGCCTGTGGCTTTTGCGGTTGTACTAGCTCTGAGGGGCAGACGGCAGGCAGTGCAGGAGGCCTGTAAGTGTAAGTGTATAAGTGTTGGCTACTCTCCATTCCTCCCTCCCACTCTCTCTATCTATATGTACATCTCTGTGTGTGTCGGCTGCAGTCAAGAGTGAAAAAAGGCAGCAACAAATCAAGCGTTGCCTTCTGTATCTATGTGTGTGTGTGTGTTTGTGCAGAGGAATGTGTGTGTAAGGACATTGAGCGCTTAATTAAATTAAGGCAAACTTGATGGACAGCTACTAGACAGACAGCCAGAGAGGGGGTGACTGGCTGGCAGGCAGTTCAGTTGAGGCAGGTGTAGAGAGATGTTCTGTCAGCTGTAGAAGGGGATGGGGGTGTGGCAGCTGCAGAAGTGGTGGGGGTGTGCCTGATGAGGGGTGTACAGGTTGGTACAGGTGTTGCTAAAGTGCCGCTCTAGCCTTGTGTATGGGAATGTATCTGTGTGTGCTTGTCTGCCTGTGTGATGCTGCCACTCAAGTGTCGCTATGGATTTGGTTGCAATTCTCTCTCTGCCTCCGTTTACCTCTCTCTGTCTATACATACATATATCTGTGTATTTATTTTATTTTAAGTTCAAAAAACAACAATCTGTCGGTTGCCAAGTCCCTGCATGAGTTGGACCTGAGAGCCATTGAAATATGAGATACTCTTGCAACGTATATTTCTAGAAAACAATTCGGAAACAAGTTGAATTAAATTTAGTTGGAAAAACTTTGATGAGGCAAGAGCGCGTGGTGAAGTAGTAGTAATGCAAGTTGGTTGAACCCTAGAGGTGTGCTCAGCTAATTGTCGTAATTTGATAGTTTAAATACTGAATAATGAACAAAAATTGTTGTGTTATATTTTCTGATTAATTCGGTGTCAAGACTATTATATGTTCTGATTTATTCGGTGTCAATTAAAAAAAAAAAACATTCGTTGATATTTTTTCCCATTCTTCCTGCAAGCATCCTTTGGCTGTGGAACCCGCGAAAGCTTCCAGTCTTATCCAAACAGATTTATGCATATTATTGTAATTTGCCCTGCAACTTAATTCATCTTTCAAACAACAACTATTCCTTTGAATAAATACTCGCATGGATTTAAAAAGGCTTTTAAATTCCGCTTAAAGCAATCAAAAACTGAGTACTCGACACATGTCGATATACAGGCACAGATACACATCCACACACACACACAGTAGGACAGCCATATGCTCATCACAGGCATTAAGGATAATGACTACCTCAACAACAGCAACGACAACGACAACGACAGTAATACCAACAATAAAAATCTGCTGCTTTTGTTAGAGACGACACTTGTTCACAAGGACACCACAGAAATCCATAAATTTAAAGACCGCTTTTGTGCAGACTATAAAAACACAATTTAACTTCAAATTTGTATTGTTAAACTAATGTTTTAAGCAAATGTATAAATACGAATATGATGTTTACTTTCACTGACTCCCCCAAAAAGTAGAATCTCTTTCAAATTGCAGTCCAGTACACTTTAAAGCTTTGACTCCAATTTTCATACAAATAGAAAAATGTTTCATGGCTTTATGGCTCGTTGGCTCGTTGGAAGCTTATACGATCACAATTATAAGTAAAAAGAGTTATGTGAGAGTGTTTAATCTGCCAAACAAAATGATAATGCCCCCAAACCAAGTGAAACTTTATAAGAAAGAATGGGTGGCCCTATCAGCTGTTTGCTGTTTGCCTGTTGAGCGCTCTCAATACTAAAGATTATTTACAGTTGGTTTTTTTGTTGGTCTTCCTTTTATTCACCCAATTCTTTCATAATTCCGCAATTGCAGTCCACTATCTGTGTTTTCTGTGTTGGCTCTTTCTCTTCTATTTTGTTGTTGTTGTGCAGTTGCTGCTTCTGCTTTATTTGTTTATTATTTTTTATTTGCAAAACTTGATTAGTTTTTTTGTTGATGTGCCGTTTTCCGTGATTATTCCCGTGTCCGTTGCCGTTTATTCTGGCTCCGACCGAATAGCGGACTGCGGATAGCGGATACCGGAGAGAGTGGACCGCACGATTTGCGTTCAAAAAGAATACTGAGCGCGGATTCCCCGTGTAGTATGCTCTCTGCCGGCACCAGTGCACGTTTTAGTGCGCGCCAAAACTGTACTGAGCGAAAGCTGGCGCCAAGAGAGCGCCTCCAAAGAGAAAGAGAGAGTAGAGTGCAGGAACAGGAACAGGGGCGTAGCTGCAGGGGGGTCTAAGGTGTGCGACAGCTGCCCAAATAATTCGTATGCTGTGCAGGCACAAAACGAACGTATTCGGATTGCGCCTATATGGCAGGGAAGTCAATGGCACGTGCCTAAGCCGATTAGAATTGGAGGGTATGCGACCACCCCACCCATACAAAACGGAGTCAAGGGCCACCTGTGGACAGCAGAGCTAGGCAAACGTTGGCTTCGGTAATGTACGCTCTCAAAAGCTTAGACTAAGAGCGAAAGCTTTTCTAATAGTTTTTGGGCTTGTAGTGTTAGCTTTACAACGGTTTTTTAAAGTATGGATTTGAAGAGTAATTCAAAATAGATTTTATAGAACTATGTAATTATAAAGAGTACGTTATAAAAAAATAATAAAATTTAAAATGCTAATCAAATTTGTCTTTGGTTTAAAACGTAAAAAAAAAAAACCAGCGCTAACCGAATTAGACCTGTTTATTAACTAACTATGAACGTACATAGTATTTTCACAAACACATGTTACTGCATCACTTTATTTCTAATAAAAAAATGCTATTTTAGACATGACCAATTTATTATCAGCAACGAAAAATCAGAGACCCCAATGGCCTATTGATAGGACGCGTACTTAACAAGCAAACAAACAAAAAACTGATGTATGTAGTTGAATGACAAACAAAATCCATAGAAAATCACACTTAATTCATAGAAATATGTCACGCCACGCAAAGATTGTTTACTGTATGCAAATAAAATTCTGGACAATTGAGAATTGTAAACATTTCAATTGGAAAATATTTACATTAATCATGGATACTCGTACGATGAACACTTCAATTCAATTGAAAGTCCGTTTGCACTCACACAAGTTCTTTGGTACCCCAGAGACAACTGCACACGACGCCGTTAAAATTCAAACTGAATACAATTTCTGACCAGCCGAGGCTTTATAAAGATTCTTCGAATATACAACAGCAGCAACAACCAAAAGAAAGCCAGAAACGAAGACGATAAGCATAGTAGTAGTAGGTTCCCGAAGTCGTAATCTTCGTTTGCTATCAAGCAGCTGAAACAATTCGATGGGTAGAGTGACAGAAAAAGGTGGGGGGTCTGTGACTGCGGATTGGAAAGTTCATCGTGTTGTTTGTCTATTTCATAAGATAAGGTCAATATTGCTGAGGAGTGTTCGTTGATTCTAAACAAACATTGATGCTAATCAATTAAAAACTGAGTATCCGTAATGCAATTGAGATTGCACCTAGAGAATATTTAAAAGGAATACCTCACTTTATTAGTTTTTAAGCTAAGTCATGAATGAATTGCAAACCTTTTTCATCCTCACCTTTAAGTTTTAATCATCAGCAATGATTTCCTTATCTGATGATCTTCATTGTATATTCTAGAAATTAGAATATTCATTGCGCTAGATCGCATTGCTTTGAGCTGCGTTAAGTGGTGAAATAAAATAGTTTAATTAGTCTAAAACCATTTATGGGGTTATCATTAAATTTCTCACTGTTAAAGTATTTCGAAATCTGAGGGTTAAAGATAAGCTATTGTACAAAAACACATGTTTGCATTTTGTTTAATTTTCTAATCAACTAAATACACAGTTCTACCACGTTTGGGTGCTGTTCATTTGGTCAACATTTTTGCATAGATTAAACCAGAAAACAACTGGCACTTAGCTTCTATACAATATACATATGGTTCTATATCCTCCACAGTGTTTTAGCTGGAAAAGAAAATAAACCCAGTTTAATTACTAAAATTTCAAAAAAAAAAAACCTCCATTTAGATGTTCGTGTCTCTCATTACCTATTCGTGTTAAATTTCACTTTTAATCAAGAAGCTGGCGGACTGTTTTATTTTCTGAAAATATCGTTTGCCAATAAACGAATTTGGTATGAATAATTAGCTTTACCTTATTTTTAATTGCATAATTATACAGCATTTTGAATCAAATTTTAGTTTTGAATTTTTCTTATCACGTCAGAGCTTCCTGTTTGGGCCTGTCTCTGAGCCAGAAAATTGTTTAGAACCCAATTCGGGTGTAATTATAATGCAGTCGAGACGGCAATACAAATGACATGACACTCATATACGAAAACTTTGTCTAAACAAACAAATTGCTAATTTCGTGAGCAAATTGTTTGCTTAATTCCCCGCAGTACACACTCTGTGCGATTCCAGTCACGTCGATGTGGATGTGGAATTATTTATGTATGCGTTTAGGTGGACTTGTTTAACCGAGAACATTAGTATATGCTGGCCATATGTTATTCCTAGCGCTTATTATTTGTTGTAACGCCAAACAAACGAATATTTGCACCCATGCAGAGACGCAGCGGCAACTGGAACACAACAAAATGCATGAAAGGCAAAACCAAACAGGTGAGAATCGAATATTGGGGATTACATCTTTGGGATACCCTGTGAACAGATTTATTTTTTGTTCAGTACATAGAAAAGTATAAAAAATAGAGGATGTAGATAGATAGATAGATAGATAGATAGGAGATAGGATAATACTATTTATTCATCATAAGTATTTATGCGGCATGTGGACCCTAATGGTTTTTAGTAGGTGTACACAAAACAAATATACCCTTGTTCTCCCACGAGTGCCGTGTATAGAAACAACAGATGATCCCCCAGAGAGCGCCAAAAAGAGCACAATAAAGTGAGAGAGTGAGAGAGTTATCCAATTCACATGTGTGTGTGTGTGAGTGTTTGTAATAGGGAGAGGGGTAACATATTCAGCCATAGAGCAGGGCAGATCTCCGCTGGAGCAAAGCCCAAGTGAAGCTCTCAGTGGCGTTTTGACAGTTGCCACAGTCAGTAGCGGGTCGGAACTGACCAGATAAAACACGAGATCGTAGAGAAATAATAAAGTGCAAAAGAGAGAGAGAGAGAGAACGAATACAAAGAAAGAGCAGACACAAACAAATACGGCGAAAACAAACATTTTTAATTAATTATAATTAGATAATAATGGATGCTGAGCAACAGAATACCAACAACAACAACAACAACAGCAACATCGACAGTGATAAATGCCAGAAGCTAAAGAGATTTGTGATCGTGGGGCTGCTCATTACCATTGGGATCTTGAGTTGGCATTTCTATGGTGAGTCGCTCTCTTGGATGGGTCTCTTTCATCTTAAGAGTACATTCGAATGCCTCTCTTAGAGTACTTCCAAAGCAAACCGCTGCCCAAAGCGCCCGATGATGTCTTGGCCCTCTCCAAATCGCTCTATGCGGAGGAGACTGCCGTCAGTCCATATCTCTATAAAGTGAATCTCCAGGGAAAGACCACATCTGGAGCCCACGATGATAAAGCGCCAAAGAAGTGAGTCAAATAATCTTCCTTTTGATTTCATCTGATCTGGGACTTTTCCTTGCCCAAAGTCTCTTTGAACTGCATCAGGATTTGCTGGCCAGAGATGGAAATTCTACTACAGCTTTACTCCTGCGCCTCTTCGACAACTACGAGTTGGATGTGGCAGTGGCCGAGCATACCACGTCCGAACATGAACAGGAACAGCATGATTTTCTCCGGACTGTGATGAATACGCGGGCGATGAAGCTAACGATGAGATTTTTGGTGCACAAAGGTGGGCAGACAGAGTATAGGAAGTTTGTATATGAATACTCTTACATGGTATACCTTCCAGATATTGTCAGCAGCGACTATGATGAGCAGCTGCGTCTGCTTCAGGAGCTATGGTTCACACCCTACTCCCGGGGACGTGGCATTGTGGGCAGCTCCAGTTTCGAGCATGTCTTCATGGCCGAACTACGCGACCAGAAGGTGCTGGGCCTCCACAATTGGATCTACTTTGCCGATCAAGAGCAGCGCGGTAATATCGACTACAAGGGCTGGCTCAGCCACTTGGAAATGGGGAAGGTTAGTCACAGAAACTCCCATCGAATAATGATACTGATTCCCTTTCTAACTTGCAGCCCAATCAAATCTCCCTGGGCCTGCGTCACACCTTCTATGGCATACGGAAACCGGTAAATGGCTTCTTTGTTGGCACCTCTCCCGAACTGGAGATGAGTCTGTACACGGCCTGCTTCCTGGGCACCCCAGAGAAGGACCCATGCCACATTCAGCTGGGCCATGCCAGTGTTTCGATTATCTCCCACTCGTGGGACTGGAAAGGCAAGCGCCTGATAGCCTCTGCCTATCCAGAAAATCTTCCCTAGAACCGGCCCACACCCAGTGCCGTCCTTAAGTCAATAAAATTAGTTCAATTCGTGTCTCAGCGTCGCTACCTCATAACACACATACCTACAGAACCATCTAAGATCCAATGTCAAAGTCAAGTTCATTTTATTATCGCACTTTATGAGTGCTCTGTGGGGGTGGGAGGGCTCCAAGAAGTTCTCATGACTGTCATGGCCAATTGCCAAACAAGTCAGTCAGGCACTGTCCATCAGTGTTCCTGAGGCAGTGCCCTTGAAAGGGGCAAATGTAATGATGGCCAGCACGCCAAAGGAAACTTTACGGAGGTGCTTAAGACTATCCATCTTAATGGGTGTCCATTGACCAACTTGTATGTTTCCAAACTCTATAAGTAGCACGTCGAACTCCCACAAAATGTAACATTTTACTCTATGGAAACTAGGGATATTTCCAAGTGTATTTGATGCTTCGGCCTTACGATGAAAGCCTGTTCAGACTTGTCTTTACTTTTCATTTGTTTTGACAGCATTGCGTGGGACTCAAATCATTAAGTTGTTTATTAGTTGTAACATTTATGTTTATTCCATGACTTGGCAAAGGGGAAAAAGCTCAAACCATTGAAAGTAAAGCGAACATGAAAGTTGAAAGAAATTAATTGATGACGATAGCCTTGAACTTGAATGAAGCCTTGCAGATCAGCTTAGTATTAGTAGAAATGAAATGAAAGTTTCGTGAAACCTTCTTTGGAATATTCAATTTTTATTGCATTTAAAGTTAATTTGTTGTAATTACCAAAAAATACGGAATATTTATGTATTTGTTAGGCTGGAAAACATATGAGTAGAAGTACGAGTCCGAGTACGTTTGTTGATTGAAGAAAGAGTCGCTGGAAGAAAATATGGTGCTACTGCTGTCCCCTATGCTTGGGCATCTAGATCGCGCTCTATGATGACCGTTACGTTGGCAACGCCCTCCTCCTCCTGCTCCTCCTGTTGTTGCACTATGGCCGGGGCGCTGGAACGACGGGCCGTAATGATGGTGGTCTGGGCTGGTGACACGCTCTCGTCGGAGCCATCGGGAAGCACCACAAAGGTCTCACTTAGATCGGCCAGCTCGGAGCAGGTCTCGTCGTTGGAGGAGCGCATCAGGCTGGGACTGCTGATCGAGCACTCCAGCAGCAGGGGATCCTCCAGGTCGGGACTCCAGCTACTTCTTGCCGGCGGCTGCCGGGGCAGACTGTTGTGGCAGAGTGGATTTGCTGCCGGCGACTGTGGATCCAGTTCCTGGCCCCACAACTCCACCGCCCGGGCGCGGTTGAGGTCTGCTCGCGGTGGATACCGCTCCGACTCCTGCTGCTGCTGCAGTGCCGCCTCCTGTTGCTGGTGGGGACGTGATCCCCGTGACGGGCGTCGCTGCCAGCGGCGGTGGCGATCGGTTGTAGTCCGTTGCGACTCGCTGAGGAGGCGCCGCAGCTGTTGCCTGATACTGGGGCTGGGACTGGGCTTGGGGCTGCTGCGGTTGGGACTGTGACTGGTTGGTAGCGGCAGCTGCTGGCGTGGGGTCATACTGGTATCCAGACTGTCCGTAGTCGGCGGCACTGTAATCGTATCCGGCCGTGGCATCTCCGTAGTCGTACTGTTGGCCATCGTAGGGCTGCTGGGCGTAGGCATTCGGATCGTAGGCACTCGCATCGTACTGCTGCTGATCGTAGGCACTGTAGTCGGTGTTGTATGCCGCCAAATTGGCGCTGCCGGCATTCGAGATGCTGCTGCTGTCGCCGAGAGGCTGCTGTTGTTGCTGTTGCTGTTGCAGCTGTGGCTGTTGCGATTGTTGCTGCTGCTCTGCTTTCTGCTGCTCTGCCTGTTCCCGTTCCCGCTCACGTTCCCTCTCCCGTTCCCGTTTCTCTCGCTGTTCCCGCAACTGTTGCAACTCTCGATCTCGCTCCTCGCGTTCTCGTTGCCTTTCCTGCTCTTGTTGCTGCTGCTGCTGTTGCTGCTTCTCGCCCAAGCCAAGGTTGTCCTTGAGATTCTCGTCATCGTTATCCTGGAGTCCATAGTCGGAGAGGATTCCCTGGCTGCCGCCGCCGCCGCCGCCGTTGCTGATGCTGCTCTTTCGCGCTCCTGCTGCTGCTGCTGCAACTGCCCCAGCAGCAAGAGCTGTTGTTGTGACTGCTGCAGCTGTTGCTGCTGCTGCAGTTGATCCTGTGGCAACTGCATCTTCTCCTCCGCCCCTGCCTCCTCCTCCACCGCTGTAGTCATCGTCGGCGCTGCTGTGTAGTTGTGGGGTGCTTTGTATGGGTTCGATTGTTGTGCCATATGTCGCTGCCTGGTAGTCGTAAGCGGCTGTGTGAGTACAAGAATTTCGATTAGTGTGACCAGCCAATTCAAAGGTATTGAGTATAGAAAGTGTGTTAGTGTCAGAGTGTGAAAAATGAAGTCTAGACTGCTTTCGTTTCCACTTTCTGTGCGGCAGTTGGGTCTCCTTTGGTCTCTGACGAATAGAAAATACCTTTTTGGATGTGTGTGTAAGTGTTTTCGGGGCTCTACTTTGAAGGGGGGGAAGGGCTCTTGAGGGATTTACCTTTTCCAGGAACTAGGCTAGTATAATCATGTGGTGTGGTATCTAATTTACTCATATGCTCCTCATTGCTTAACATGCGATTGGATAGATATTCTAGATTCGATTGTAAAGCAGATATTTCCTCTCTTCGGAAAGGGATAGTTAGGTGAAAGAAAGATAGAGATAGAAAGAGAGAAAGGAAGAAAGAAAGAGACAAACACACACAACTATTAGTCACATACATCAAAACCAACTTTTACCTGCAATTTCTGTAATTTGTGCTCATCTTTCGACTCCTCAGAGCTTTGCTCCGGGTTTCCATTGTGCACTTGTGGCAATTGTGATTTATATTTGGCCCAGATCTGTCTGAGACGTGCCATCAGCTGCTCGTTTGTGGCACGTAGCTGTTGCTTCTCCTCGCTAAGGTTTAGCCACGAATAAACAATAAAATTAATCCATCAACGAAAAATTATACTCAAGAAATAACAGAGGTCTTAAGAGAACTTAAAGGTATTGTGATGCAACTAAAAATAAACTAGTATTCGTTAGTAATTTTTTAAAGAGATATCATTCATCTCTTTGAAGATCTTTGAGACAGACCGACAGACAGATCCTGACCAAAATTATATTCTCTGTGCTAAATATATACCTTAAACTTATAACTAAATTATGAATTCAAAGCACTATCAAAGTTTGGTGGTCTGCTCTTGCTCCTCATCGTCATCATCCTGCTCCTCCTCCTCCTCCTTAACCACATTCCTATTCTCCTCCTCTTCCAGCTGCTTCAGCTGCTTGTCGATTTGTGCCAACTCTGGGGCGGATGTCTCCTTGACAAAAGTCTCGTTGAGTGCCTGCGCCACTTCGTCCAACTCCTTGACGAATGTCTCATTCAGCGAGGGACTGACTTTGGGTCGCGCCTGCTTGGGCACCAGTCGCACATTAACATCGACTTTGACGGGGGGTCGCGGCTTCTTGTGGCAGCCATCCCGTTGCAGCAACTGCTCGAAATATAGCTTGGGCTTGATGCTGGCACTCAGGGCATTGCTGCCCTGACCTCTGCAGGCTGATGATGATGATGATGATGATGTTGCCGCGGCTGTGGCCAGAGTATCAGTGTCCACCGTCAAATGCTGCGTTTGACATGGGGCCTGACAGGGACTGGCACTGCTACTGCTGATGGTCTGATTCAAAACTAGATGCTGTTGCAACCAAGGCAACGGCTCCGTTTTGCATGGATGACAGCAACCCGCCGCCGCCGACTGTTGTCGCTGATGCTGCTGCTGTTGCACAGGTTCGGTGGTGCAATGTTGCTGGTGCTCGTGATGCGTTGTGTGATGGTGATGGTGGTGCGTCGTGTCTAAGGTGTACTCGTGGCCGTGACAATGCATGCTCTTGCTGTGTGTAGTTTGTGTACGCGCTTTCGCTGATGTTGCAGATGGACCAGCCGATGTTGCCGATGGAGCTGTAGATGTTGCTGCTGGCCTACTGCTGCTGCTGTTGCTGCTGCGCCTGCGATTTGCTGGCATCGTATAAATGTGCTCATGTTCGTGCCGATGTCGCATAAAACTGGGGCAAAAACCTTTTGGCTTTGAGCCCAATGTCGATGTTGCTGTTGTTGCTGTTGTCGCTGCTGGTACTGTCTCTGCTTTGCCCCTTTCCGCTCTGGATTTCTTATAGCTGGATAACTGTGGCAGCGGTGGCATTTTGGCCAGTTCCTGGGCCAGGCGTTCGTTGCTTCTGATTATATTCTGCAGGATCTCATCGCCTTCGACAGCAGCAGCAGCAGCAGCCGAAGCAACAACAGCAGCATCAGCATCAGCAACATCTTCTGGCATGGGGCTCGTAACATCTGGGATTTCCAAATCAGGCATCTGCAAAATGAACTCGTTTGCGTTTTCTCTGATTGTTGTAGGCGCTGTGGCTGTGGTTGCTATTGTTGCTGCTGCTGTTGTTGTTGTGGTCATGGGCACGTTTGTGGTTGTTGCTGGCATCACACGATCGCAAATTGGTTCTAATTATCGTGAAAATTGCGCAGGCAGCCCAAAAGAAAAGGTTTGAAGAAGTACAAGTACAGGCGTGTTAATCCAGTCTCTAGGTAGGTCGACTATTTTTGCTATTGTTTTGCTTTTTGTGTGGAACGAATCTCAAAATAAAGGAAATTGTGAGAGAGAAACTTTTTGGGTTGGCCTTGAATTTCAGATTGCGCTGTGCGGTGGTTTCCATATCTTAAGAGTTTTGTTTTCTATCAAATATCCATTTGCCATACATTGTAGTGTCATTATAATAAAGAGAGGTGATGAAACAACTAAATGAAACTGCAATAATTATAGTTAGAAATGTTTTAGGTTTCATATGAAATGCATTTCTGGGAATTCCTTTGGGCAGAAGTCGAGTTACTTGAGGTTATCTAAGAATAATGGTAGATGGAATATAAAAACTAAGTTGCATGTGTTTCTAGTACCAAAATGATTGCAGTTTCTAACAGTTTATAGCATAACAGTTACATAATGGGGATCATAATTACTTGTGCTTGTACGATGTATCCTCTAACTTGCCCGTTAAGGTTTTACACTCGCCCGTCAGTTTATCCATGAGTTGCTTCTGAGATGTTATCATTTCCTCAAGCTCATTTACCGTATCCGCTACAAACACAGATATTATACGGTTTAGTGGACAATCTTCAGTTATACTACAGACATACATATATAGGATGTTATGGATATATATACGTATTATGGCAACGCAGATCTACAGAACAGAAACTCATGGATAAACTATTGAACATTTCTGTAGGACTATAAAATTTTGCGATCGAATAGCTTTTGGGGATTGTTTTTAGATTGAAACCAACGCACGCTTACAATATGAGCATCAATAGCTTAACCAGAGTTTATAGAGGGGGTGATAGAATGTGTACAGGATACGGAAAAGTGTTACGAAAGGTGAGAAATGAAGGAAAGACTGCAGGTAGCTCCTGCTATTAATCGGCACATACCATGCTTATCCTGCATTTCCGAGATCCGCTTGTCCAAATCTTTCTTGGTGGGTCGTATTTCGTTCTTCAGCTCACCATAGGCTAGCTAAGGGTTTTACACAATATAATAGGACACATCTATGGTGACCGAGAACCTCTCACCTCCTTCTCCAGATTGGCTATCTCATCGTTGAGTCGCAGAACCTCCCGCTTTGAGTGCAGCAGATCTGCATCCCCGCGATCCAAGCGCTGACGCAGAGAATTGATCTCCGCCTGGAGGCGAGCTGCGTCCGTTTTGGTCTCCCGGGCAGCGCGATCCAACTGGAGACGCAGCGAGGTGATCTCCTGCTCGAGGGACTGCTTCTCTGCATTGGAGGTAGCCATGTCCGCCAGGAAGTTGGTGCGATTGGCCCTCAGCTCGTTCTTCAGCTCTTCGATTTGCGAGTTGCGATTGGTGACGTCCCGCTTGAGATCGGTCTCGTACCGCTTCTGGCGCTCCAACTCCAGCTGCAGCTTGGTCACCTGCTCCCACTGGCAGCTCAGATCGCCGCCCAGCTGGTCCACCTGGGTATTGTAGCGCCTCTCTGCGCTGGCCCGCTCCTCGGCCAAGCGACGGGCCATTTCGTGTTGCATCTCCCGGACACGTTCGTGCTGGCGATCCAACTCGTCGCGAAGGTGACGCACCTCCAGCTCGGCCTGGGAGCGTTCCATCTGCACCAGATCGCTGATGTAGCGCTTGGAGGTGGTGCTGCCCTGGCCCTGGGCCTTGGCGTCGTCCAGCATGCGCTGCAAGTGGCGCACAGTCTCCTCCAAGGTGAGCTTGTCCTGCTGCAGGCAGTCCAGCTGCTTGCGATGCGTCTCACAGTTGCCGCCGCCCAAAGTGGCCACCGTCGTGATGGGATCCGTGTGGGCCAGCCTCCGCTTCAGATCCTCGTTCTCAGTTCTCACGCGCTTCAGATCGATATTGGCCTGCATCAGCTCCGCCTCCAGTTCGCTGATGCGAGCCTCGTACACAATATTGGGGGCACTGGCATACCGTGGACTCTGCACCTTCAGATTTCCCTTCCTTGGGGTAGTCGGAGTCTTACGGCCACTGCCATAAATCAGGTGCTCATCGCTGTCGGACGACGGACTGGTCGTGATCCCACCTTGGTTCATCCCCGACGACTTCCCCGACCCCATATTTGCCAGCTCCGAGCGTGCATTCTCCGTGATCTGCTCGTTCTCGTTGATCACATCTTTCACCTTGCCCAAAAGATTGGTCAGCTCGTTGCGACAGTACTTGGACTCCTTCTCCAGCTGCTCGATGTAGTCCTCCTGCTTCTCAATGAAGCTGAAAATCTCCACCGGTGCCTGGACACTGTCCGTGGCCAGTGGAGGAGGCGGCTGAGCAGCTGGGACATTGCTGCCCGAATAGAGAGCCGCCATGGAGGACAAATTCTCCTTGGAGACGGACAGGCCATATTGGTTGCCCATTGGTTGCATGCCGTAAGTTTTCTTGGGCCGATAGGAGCTCATCCGCGACTTCTGGCTGGGCGACAAATACTTGGAAATGTCCGAAAAGACAGGACGCTCAATCACCTAATAAAATGAAATAATAGAGTCAGGAATATTCCCCTCCTTTGTGAGACTCCCTCTCACCGATAGATTATCCGAAAAATTGTCCCCAGAATCCTCATTGAAGTTACGCAAATAGGCGGCGGATGCACTGGCTCCAACCTTGGGCGGTGTATAGGAGTTGTCGGCCAGCATTACCTTGAGACGTCCCACAGCCTCATTGTAGGCGTAGTTGGTGTAATCCATGGTCTTGGTCTTCTTGGTAATGCCCCCCTTCGAGGACTTCATCGAGAAGTTTCTAAAGTTGTCAACGAAAAGCGTAAACGGTATGCTTAAAGGCCTCTCATCAAAGATCACATTTTAATGAATCTTCTTTTTTCCTTTCTTTCTCTTTTTGGGAGGAAAATAACTAGAAAACGAAGTTGCTCGGCAAATGAAACCAAAATTGAAACTGAAACAGAAACCGAAAACCGAAAACAGAAACAGAAAACTGAGGCTGTCTGTCTCGTCCACAATCGGGGTGACAACTGGAGTTGTAGTGTCAGTCGTTGCCACGACAACAGGTTGGCCAACATACAAATGCTGCAGGTTTTTAACCCTGCTCCTTTTCTGGCCGTGTGTGTTCATGCGTCATGGTTGAGCCAACACACATTTGTGGGGGTGGTTAAATCCTTGCTACCCTGAATGATAATAAGGAGAACTACTGGCAGGATAACTCTATAGATTTAGCTGGCGAGTTATGGTAGTTAGTCGTAAGGGATTGAAAGGGAATGCCGGATTTAAATAATTAAATAATCATGTGGAAATAATCTTCATTTAAAGTACAATTTATTAAGAACAATTCCAAACTAAATTTAAGAAATTAAAAGACTCTTAAATTTCTTTATAGCAGCTCGTTTCCGCAGCTTTAAAATTTCAGAAATAAAGTCTTTAAATCAAAGACTTATCCCACTTTAAATAGTGTTCCATTTCACAGTTTAAGCTGATTATAAATTACCTCGATCTCCTCCTAATCCTGCCACCAGCACTGCTCCCACTGGCTACGCTCTCCCTGTCCGAGTACCCAGAGATGCGATGCTGCTGCGTGAGATGACGCAGGTCGTCAGTTGTCAGGTGGCCTGTTCCGTGGTGGCTGTTACCGATGCCACTCGCTTGCGGTTGGTTCTGCGAGTGAGTCCGAGTACTTTTCAAATTGTACAAAGGAGCGCCGTACTTGAAGAAGTTTTCTGTTTTCATTTTACCAACATCAGGGTTGGAGGAGGCAGCGACACAAGAACTATTGGGAAGGGACAGGGGCACAAGAAGCGGGCTAAAAACTTTATTGCAAGTTGCAACTGCTGGCATGCAACTTATGGTGGGTGGGGGAGGGGAAACACTTGTGGTATGCACTTCCTTCCGCCTTGCGGTCTGCACTTTAATTGTTTCTTTGAGTGAGCGACAGGCCAGGACGACAGGACGACAACGCGTTGAAGTTACACTGAAACGGCAGCAAACACAAGTCAGGGCTTTTATAGACTCGGTCCCAAGTGATGGGGAGGGGGGGCCCCAGATATAGTTTAGTGTGCCTCCATAATGTGTTTGGTGCCATGTCGTGCCCTGTCAGTAGTCAGAGCACACAGAGAGAGAGAGAGAGAGATTCCAAAACATTCCCATTAGCATTTTCCTTTGCTGCAATGCAATTGTCGTCATGGGAGACGGGCCGCCCCTTCCGAAACGGGGGGGCAGGCAGGGTTTGGGTGTTGAAAGTTGAGGAATCTTTTAGGCATTGGCGCCTCTGGTTTTGGTTTTGGTTTCGGATTTGGTCTCTGTCTGTGTTTGATCGATACCAAAAGGGGAACTCATCAATGTATTGAAAGCACGCTCATTTGTGCCAATATATATGGTCATATATATATACATATGTACATATATATAGTGGCAGACCCTCTCTTCTGTCCCTTTTTCCCCATCGTTGGCATTGGGTTGTTCAACTCTCTTCGTGTACTCTAAAGGAATTGAGGCCAAAAACGTTTTTCATTGCCTATTTTAAGGGTTTCTATCTTGGGCGTGTTTACTGTCACTAAATTGGTACAATAAAAAGGTTTGGGTTGCCTTATTTACTGCCTTAAATGCCTCGCTTTGTGCTGTAGGATCAGCCATACCCCCTGTGGAACTTAATTAATAACTTGCGAGCATAACAAGGTCAGAAAGTCTCAATGATATTTCAATTAAGTGAAGGGCAAGTGCAGTAAGAAGATGTTTGGGCAGAGTTCCTAAAAGAGATTCCTGTGGCTATTTCTGCAAAGTTTTCCTTCATTATGTACCTCAAATAAGTCCTCCTGCCTATGCAACTTTAAGAATTTCCCCTCTCATTTTGAAGACTATTAAATTTCAGAGTTTTTTTGCCACAGGCCTGGGCTCTGGCCACATGTGGAATCCAGCTAGACCTGCCAACAATTGATTGTCGATGTACCATAACTTATGGCCAAATCACAGGCATTTAATAGCTCAAATAACTCAAGATCAGGAGCTATTCCTTCGCTTGCGTCACTCCACTCCCCGCTATGCACAGCACAGCACACAACGGATCCAAACCGAACCGAACCGAACCGAACCCCAAGTGCAGCCACACAATCAATCAATGCAATCTCTGTTATCATGAATAATTTCCCATCGGGCAAAATGCACAGCAGCCGCTGAGCAGCGGCAGAGAAAAAAACCCAGAATAAAACCCTTTTGGCCAAAATAAAAGAAACAAGTAAGAATGATTTTATAATAATAATTCGACTAAAGGATACCTCATGCTCTGATGGACAGAATTTTAAATGTAATAAAAAGGGTATAGTGTCAAGGGAAGATACCTGGGTTAAATAAAAGGCTGCATGCAGATTAAATCTTTAATTAGTTCTAGAAAATCTAAATCGATTTTTACTGATCATCCGTGGATGCTTACCTAAAATATTTGTAATTTTTGACCTCGCATCTCTCTGTTGCATGCTTCTCCTGCAACACAATATACCCTAAAGCCCCCTACTCGACTGTCGGGTATAAACAAAAACCCTTTTGGGCAAAAAGAATACAATTTTCCTCTACACTTGGGAGCCCTTTGCCCCCCATACATTATCAGCTTCTTGCGATTTAATTACCCGCACTAGGGAAAACAGAGGAACAGCACACAGTAGGAACCACATCCCAGAAAAATTAACCCTCTGAGATAAAGGCATAATTCCGAGTGTTCAGAAATCTGCAAGACAATTCATAAGCACTGCCATAGCCTGCCTGCCTGGCCTGCAACAGTGTGTATTACTCGTGCGAGTGGTGTGATGTGGTGTGTGTGTGTGTATGTGTGTGTTATCGATCGTGGTCAAGAGCAGCGCATAAGAGACCCGAACCATGTCCAGTCCCCAATCCCAAGCTGGAAGCCCTCGGGGCGCTCTCAGCAATTTTCATTGCTGCCGTTGCTCCAGCAACAGCTCTTCTCGGTCTGGGTCTCTGGCTGTGGCTGTGGCTCTGATCGTTGTCGCGATCTGTTGGCCTGGCCGGGTCCCGGCCTGGGTCTTCGACTTGCTCTGATTCTGCGGCCAACAACAATGTCGCCAGGGCCGTTGGAGTCGCTGGTGCTGCTGCTGCTGCAGTTTCAGCTGCAGTCGCGGCTGCTGCTTCAGCTGGCGTTGCCGCAGCTATTTACAACACTGCATTCCTGTGCCGCAGTCATTCAAGAAGCCAAGAAGCTGAAGCCGAGGCGGTGGCTGTTGCTGTTGCTGTGGCTATGACTGAGCCGAAGTCGAAGCTGAACTTGTTTCATGCCACATTTTGGCTTAGCGTGTGCTCTAGCTCTCTCTTTCTCTCTTTGCAGCAGCACTCTCTCCCTCCCTCTCTCATAAATGCTGTAATACGCTCGAAACATGTTTATGAAAAGAAAGAAATTCCATTGCAAACAAAAGAGGGGGAAGCAGAAGGAAGACTGGGGGAAACAAACGGCAGAGGGAGAGTGAGAGGAAAGGCGTGCGCTGCGCATGCGCGCATGTAATCCAGCTCACACAAACACTCATACACACACACACACACATACAGAAGAGCGTGCTCTTATGAGCAGAGGAGCCCGAGAGAGTTTACGCTCTTTTATTTACCTCCAAAGTACCTTTCATGATGTGTTCACTCCAGGTGAGGCCTTGTCAGAGAGTGCTCTCCCGTATTTGACTTCGGTGGAAGTTGTGCGACTCCCAGCAACAGGTTTTCTTTCACCTTGTAATCATACACCTTGACTCTCTCTTTCTCTCGCTCTCTTTCACTCGCTCTCTTTCACTAGCTCTCTTTCTGTATGCCAGTTTAGCCCAAAGGCATACGGTAGGTCTGGTCTTTAGTTATGCCATGGTGGAATTTGTTTTTGCGATCACCAGAAAACCACAAAAGCAGCATAGAAGTAGCACAGGCATATCATAAGAGCGGGCAAGACTAAGAGTGAATGTAACGTGCAAGGTAAAATTCGGTTTAGCAATGTGGGGACTAATGATTTTCAAATAAATAAGGTGGGAATTATGCGCTAAATAAAATATATTTATACTACATTTAATTACAGCAAATATTAATTTGAAATTCTTTTTAATAATCCAACTGAATTTGTTTTTGACAATTGAATAACATTTCGGGAATCGACTTATTTTGATATTTTAGTATTTTGATACTAAGCCGCTCTGCTAACTAAAACTCATTTTATTGACTCAAATAACATGTTTTATAGAAACGCTATGCGTAATCCATATTCCAATACAACTATTATTTTCCAAATCAATTGTCTTCTCAAAATCCGCCAAGTTCGTTGCCTGAGTCTTTTATTTTGCGCCTGGCAATGCTGCACCAAAGAATTGATCTTCTCTCTGCCACCACTCAATGTGGGTTGCCAAGAGAGCGAACTGAGCTCTCTTGAGGCACGCTCTGACTGCGATCCGCGGATATCTTTGTCGCTCTTGCCACTCACCATTTACCTGTCGTCGTGCACTGTTCCAATCCGACCGTGTCCGCAGCGGATGAAACTGAATCTTGAGGCGCCGCATTTCGTTGCGTGCCGCCTGCCTGCCTACGTGCCTGTGTCAGTGCTAGTGCCTGTGCCTCTGTTTGTGTGAGTGAAGTGAGCGCAAAAAAGAAGAAGAAGGCGAAAGATAACAGCAAAAGCAAAGCCAAAAGAGCCACACAGTGAACGATCGAAAGAAAATAAAGCAGAGAGAAAAGTGTTGTTGTGGAATAACCAAAAAAAAAAAGGAAAAAGGAAAAAGAAAAAACGAAAACCAAACAAAAAGCAAAAATTAAAGAGAAAAAAAGCGAAATTAAATGGAAATTCAATGAGGAAGCTGCAAAAACTGCCAAATAAACAAAAAGGAAGGAGAAGCGTTGCATAAATGAGCACCCAAAGGGAGTTACCTGTATAATCATCAAAAAGGTAGAGACCAAGGAGCGGAGCGGAGTGGAGTGGAGTGGACAGACACAGATCACAACTTATTAAATTGCAATTCCCCCAATCAGGTTTTTCGCTCTCTCTTTCTCTCTCTCTCTCTCTGTCCACCATTATTTATGCTTTCCCCCTCTCTTTCTGCCGTTGTGTGGCTTCATGCAAAAGAGGGGGCATGGCAGGGTTCTTAGTGTTTCTCTTTTTTCTTTTATTAATATTGCATGATCGTAAAACGTTAATGAAATTATTCGTACATTTAAAGCGAGTATTCAACCCGATAGGCAGCTCGACACCTCGCAATGGATTCCGATTCGATGGAAAAGAAAACCCTCGGTTTTCGAACAGTCTCCGGAACCCCTCGAACCAGTTGCAAAAGTTGTCACATTAAAATCACACCTTTGAAGATATATATTTATTGTTGTTGCTGTTGCTGTTGCTGTTGTTGTTGTTTTTTGTAGTTGTTGCATGCACCACTTTGGCCCGTAACTCGTTCGCGCTCTCTCACATACGCACAGAATACACACAGAGTGGGAGAGGGAGAGGGAAAGATGCGGGCACACACAGATACAGATAGACACATATGAGATACAGATACATATGTACATACTCCTTCTCTGTGCTGCATGCAAATTATAGTAGTCGAGACTCAAGGAAGTTGGCCGAAAGAGGCTCTGGCTCTGGCTCTTGCTGTGGCTATGGCTGTGGCACTGGCCATTACTTTGCCCCAACCAGAAGTTGCAGCAACGGATATGTTTATGGCCAAATGATTGAATCTCATGCCTGTCTTATAACATAACAGCTATCTATCTATCTATCATTTGCCAATTATCTCTTGGGGAACGACTTTCCTTTTTTTGTTTCTATGCGCTTATAATATAATATTTAATACCAGGGTATTTTGTATTTGGAGGAAGGAAGCATGTTTCCCACACCCCATAAACTGTACAACGACTGGCAGTCAAATATACAAGATTTTTAAGATATAAAATGACTATATCATACCTATACCGTGTACCATAGCGCATAGTCATATGTATGTATGTATTTTTCCCATAAAAGAAAGAGTGTTATTAAAATAGTACGTGCCTCAACATCATGTTCCACTTAAAGCGCAACGAATGAAGATCCGCTGAGAGCCCTCTACTAGTACTTCTAGAATCCAGTATCCAGCATAGATTTCCCTGGAATCATTGGGATTTCCCTCGCTCATTCGTTGGCTCATCTCTCACGCAGATTTCTGTGGATCGCTCCGGGTCGAGCCCAACACGTGTTGGCCAAATGTTTTCAGCTCTTCACATCATTAGCCAATTGCCCGAGGAGGTGCCCCTGTAGAAAATAATTTACAAAGCGAAACAAGCAAATAAATTTATTATAATGCATTAATTTTAATGTTTTTTCTTGAGGTTTGGCTGTATCTTTTTTTTTTTGTAATTTGTGCATGTTAAATGATTATAAATTGATCATTTGATATCTGTCAGACAGAGGATTGGCACAACATTTTGGCATACACTTTCCTTGCCAGCGGCACAGCAGCGAAAGCACCAGGAGCAGCAGCAGCAAAGAGTTGGTTGTCCATTTATTTATGCATTTGCCAACAATTTAAAATATTTCTTACACAAAAATGTCAACATATGCGCATTGCAATGACAAGGCAGCCGCCAGCGGGCCAGGCCATTTGGCCAGCTCTTGGAGAGCCAATCCAGAGAGCCAGTCGGCCAGTCCAGTGAGCCATGGCCCGCAGCAGCAGCCCCAATCCGGCGCTGGCAATCAAAGCCAAAAAGCTTTCAAGCCAAAAGGCTGCCTGCCGCCGCCACAAGTCACAGACATGGAAAAGCCGCTCGCCGATTTCATGAGATTTTCAACAGTTTTTTCTCTCTCCTTTTTTTTGTATTTATTTCTTATTTTTATATATTTTGAACCTACCTTAATGGGGGGCTCCATTAGCTGCGTGGAATGGGTTGGCGGCGGCAATCAGGCATTAATGGGGGATTAGTCAGAGGATAAATATTTAAAGATGTTTGCAAAACAATTTTAAGTGTCTCCTTAAAGACATCAGTGTCTGTGTGGGGCTTAAAGATTATACCTACGCGTATATTCTAATTGAAAAGGTTTCTCGTTAGTTGGGAACTTGCTTGTGGCTGTTATTATCTTTTAGAGAAGAATAATAAAATAATATGGTAGAATGTGGACTAGGTTAGTACTACGCGGTAATAACTCTCTTTGTGTTCATTTTAGATTCAGAACCTGAGCAATTAATCTAAGAAATCTGATGTAAACCTGTATTACAATTCTTTTAACTAGTTCACTTGATGTTACCTACCTAATGGACATAGTATTTATGTTAGAAATCTGAATAACTTTGATGTGGAGAGATGTTTTAACTACCCTACTGAGGGTTAAAAGTGATATAGAAATGCTTCAGAAATTATTAGCCCTAAGTAGAAGGTTAAGCAGTAGATTATTTGTAGCAATCGGCTAAGCAGTAGTTAACTCTGGGAAGCAGTTAAGTCATCAGCTAAGCAGTCGATTAATCATAGAAGCAGCAGATAAGCAGTGCATGAATATTAGAATCAGTCGAATTTCTTCCTTAATTCTGTATTCCTCTAACAAAGAATTGATCCCCTTTTGTGATTGCAGCCTTTACCCCTCCTAGAGTATTCCCCACTTCGTTATTAACCCTTGACTAATCGACTTTCCTTTCTTGTCCGCAATGTTTATTGTGTGTCTCTTTTTCCATCAGAGTGTTTGTGTGTTTGTGAGTGTGTCTGTGTGTATATATGATTCCATAGCTCTTGGAAGTTGCAACAGCCACAGCGCAATCAGCAAATACTAAAATGCAATGCGACGTATTTTTTATTATTTATTTTTTTTACCCATTTTTTTTTTTCTTTTTGTGTTATTTTGTTTCGAGTCGAGTTGGGGCCAAGAGAGTCTCCGTCGCCGTTGCCGTCTCCGTTGGAGTCGAGTCTCTCACGCCACAAGCGACAGTTTTGTATTAGAAACGGCAAACTTGTGGCAACTTGTGGCTGCAGCTAGTTACGGGCTTGATGATTGCCCCAGCTCCAAAGGGGGCGCGCGCAGAGGGAAGGGGCTGGGGCTGCAGTCGAGAGCTGAGGCAGGCAGCTGGAATGTTGTTTCGCTGCTAGTTGGCCATGTTGCCGAGTGACTGACATAGTTGCTGCTTTAGTTGTGGTTGTAATTGTTGCTGTTGCTGCTGCCGCTGCTGCTGTGGCAGGGCATTGCAGGCTGAACTTTAAAATTTAATTTGTTAAACAATTTATGTGCGGCATATTAGCTCCAGGTCCAGGCCAGGCCAGGCCAAGAGCAGAGGGCCGCCGCAGTATTGTGGAGAGATGTGGAGGAAGGTGGATGGATGAGATGGAGCCTATGCGGGCGTCGTTTCGGAGAGCTGAGCTCCCATGCGGGCGAACCAAAGATAACCTGTTGAGTGTTCGTTCCGTTCCATTCCTCTCTTCCAATCAGGCTCTCTTCTGAATGCACCTCTCTTTGGCTGCATACTGTGTGTGCCTGTGTGTGTGTGTGTCTGAGTGAAAAGTTGCCAAAGAGATTCAGACAAAACGGTGCTTTACATTCGTTTTTGTTGTTGCTGTTCTTTTGGTTTCTTCTTTGTTTTTTATACCCTTGCCTTGCATGTGGAGAGGGTGCTATGAGTTTGGGGAGACGTTTGCAATGCCAGAATAAGGATATACCATTAATATACTGCGAAAGCTATCTTGCTGGAGCTTTATTCTTTTAGATCGAGCGAGTCCTTTAGGATCATTTGCAGATAATCGTATTGAATCATTCACTTACAGGGTACCTAATCATTCGATGTGCTATGCGATTTGTGGCTGTCCATTTCTCTGCCACTTATCACTCGATCATCTGCATCTCTCTTCGTCTCTTGGCCATCTCTCAGTGTCTCTGTCGTTCCGTCGACTGGTCTTTAATGAAATGTAATTTGAAAAATTGCGCGCGGCAAATTGCTGGCTTCTTGTTAGAGAAGATCTCGTTGTCGCTCATAGAATTTCAAATATTTTGTCTTAATTAAAATTTTCCGCTCTCTCTCTCTCTCTTTGTCTCTTACCCTGACTGTCTGTCTCTGCTGTCTGTGTGTCTGTCTGTCTGTCTGTTACTGAAAAGTCGGGCAGAGCTTTTAGATAAATTAACTCTGACATTTGGTCCGTCAAGCATTTGTCGCTGTTTTTGCATTTGGTCGACATTTTTATTGGACTTTGACTTGGCCTGGATTTATGTCTGCCTGGATTTGGGAATCTCGGATCTGGATTAGCTGTGCCATCATTCACGTCCACAATTGTTGGCCCCGTCAACGTCAACGAACAGCCCTCCTCCCCCCAACCACCTTTTTTTGGGTAGCAGCATGTAATTTGCCTCGTTTCTGGGTCTTACGTTTTTTGTGTGATTTATTCCGCTGTTGCTGGGTATTTAATTCTGGGTTAAGCATCGCTTAAGCCAGAAGTCTGTCTTTGGAAAACAAAAGACTTTGACCACGAACTGGTTCCATTCGACTTCGACTGGAATTCGAATAATGCTCTCCGAACAAGAAGGAGAAGAAGCTCTCAAGAATTTGCCTTTGATTGATGGCCAGTCTCAATGTTTCAATCTCCTCCTCCACCATTTCGCCCTCTTTCGGCTCTCCTCCTCCTCCACCTTCTCGCTCCTCTTTCGCTCTTTCGCTCTCCTCTTGGGTCGTATTTTCTTCACGGTTCATTATATAAGATTCGGTTTAATTAGTTTGACTAAAATTTTCGCATTCCCCTTTAATGGCTGTGGGGTGAAATCTCTTGGAGTTACAGATAATGACGACCAAAGAAATAGCACAGAACCATTAAAGAAATTTCCGAAAAATACAAAAAAAACCCGAACCGAAACCAATTTTGATGGATAGCAAAGTCATCAAGAAATCAATTTATATTTATATCTAGATATATTTAATCTTTGCGTTGGAAAGAAAATTGAGTGAGCGAAAATGGAAAACGAGTTTTCAGCTAACTGAGAAAGTTTTTTTTTTTTTGAGTCTAAGTAATTGCAGCTTAAAGAATCTACAAATTGAAACCAAATTCCAGTAATTTTCCGGAGAGAGAGAGACAGAGAGATCTCTGCTATATGCTCTAATTAATTGTCTTGCCATTCCATAGCATACTTTCTACAAGATCAATCTTTCTTTCCCTTTATAATGAATGCCTCTATTTATATATTCATATGAAGAAATATAAAACCATTTCAAAGCACCGCCCCATACATACATTCTCCTCTCTTTCTATTTGCGAAAACTCTTTTGAAATTCTCCGTGTTATCTGTGATCTGTGTCAACGACAACTTTCAATTCTTTTGAGATATTTGCATAGAGACAACAGACACACATCCATCGATGCGAGTTCATTTAACTCAAATGAACTGAACCGTTCGATAGCCGAACTCCACATGAAACAACTGAAACACATTTCCTTCAAACCGAATATTTATTTATTTAGCTGTTTAATAAGTGACAGCATGTAAATAAATGTAACAGAATACCCATTTAGAAGGGTAATTAGGTTATCATAGTGTGTTTGCTCTAGTTAATAGGGTATTAAATTCATCCCAAAATATACACCCATAAAATCTATCAATGAATATAAAAAAATTTAATAAAAGCAAACACTTCAACATGGGTTTTATAGGGTATTTCAGTTTGGGCCTTTCCCATGAATTATTAATTCCGCTATAAAAACCTTGTTAATATTCGATATCTCTGACATTTATCCACTTACAAGTCAGTGCTACATTAATCATGCTGTTGAAATGGTTGTATCTATGTCTGATCTTAATGATCTTTGCACCACATATTAGCGGTCGTAAGTAAAGGATTTCAAAACAATGTTGTTTTTTTTTTGTACAACTTGCTAAATTCAATTGAACTTAGTCGAATTGAGATGCTTACAACCGATGAAGATAGGAACTGGAAGGGCATATTTTAAGCGATGGTACTACAATACGGATACGAGAAAGTGTCACAAATTCATCTATGGCGGTTCGATGGGAAATGACAATAACTTTGAGACACCTCAGTTATGCCAACGAATTTGTAATGAAGAATTACGTATTTAGCGAGTGTTGGAAATAAGAGTTCATTGAATCCCAAAGCGAAATTTGTGTCATAAAGTGATTCAAGATGATTGAAGCTTTCGGCAAAATTTATAGAAATTATTCATAATAAAAAACTATTGAATGAAGTAATACAAGATCATTTATCAAAGAAATTCGTGGAAATTTTTACACATTTACCTTTACATTTACATTTACCCTAATCTAATATTTACTGATAGTACCACCTGCGAGCACTTGCGTTTGTTTAACAATAGTTTTTTAGGAGCCATGAAAGAATACTATTTTGAATAAATAGGTATTAACAAAAGAGTCAGTCTCCATTCTGCCATCCAACATGTTGGTAAAGTTTTCGGGTTTTCTCGTTCTCCTAGTGCTATTCTTGCACCAAACCCAACCACAGACTAGTAAGTCTATCAGGGAACTTCTACAAAAACTCTAAATAAAGATTGGATATTTTAGTTAAGAGGAGATGCCTGCTGCCTCTGGATCAGGGCACGGGCAAGGCCTTCTTCCGCAATTGGTACTTCAATTCGACGACAAGCAAATGCCAGAGGTTCGTATTCTTTGGTGGCGAGAAGAATGGCAACAATTTCCAGACCAAAGCACGCTGCAGGAAGATATGCCTGACAAATGATCCGATTAAAGTTTAATTAAAATATAAATCAGATGATCTCTTATGAATTCTATTGAAATTGTATGAAGTCATGGCAAATGCTCCACTATTCTCATATATATGTATGTATGTTGGTACATATCTCCCAGAAGAAATCTTTTCCATAGATATACAGACCTACCTGTTATTTTCAGGCTAATATTAAATATAGCATATACTTTTCTTTAGCTAATTGCGTTTTGTATGAAATCTTTTTGTGAAAATCCAGTTGATGCTGCTGCACCCAGTTTCTACTGTGGCTTTGCTGTGGCATGCGCAACAAATATTTTTCTGATGTTTTTTTTCACTCTTTTTTTTCTGAAAAACTTGTCAGCGCCACCCACTTTCTATGGAGCTTACTGTTGGCTCTGTGTATCTGTATGTGTGTGTGTGTGTGTGTGTTTGGCCAGGAGGTGTTAGGCGGGTGCGCTGACAGCACGATGTAACCGCAACAACAGCAGGCAGGGGCAGAGGCAACGTTTTGCTAAATCAAAATTGACACTATGCAAAAAGCCAACCCACAGAGTGGCGTCGGCAGCAGCAAACGGTAGCCACACACACACACACACACACACACACAAAGATAGAGAAACATACATAGATACACGGGCCAGAGTGGGGCCAGGCGCTCAGCATGCCATGGCATGGAGGCCAAAAGGTGCCCCCCTGTCCGACTCCAACGCCGATTCCTCTTGTGTATGGTATGGTATGGTCGATGTGGTGTTGTTCCTGTGTGGCGCCACGCCAAGCACTCGCTGTAGCCTCTTGTTGTTGGCTCTTGGCGTTAGATTTCAGCCAATGTGCAGACAACGGACGCCGCCACACACACACACACACACAACGTACAAAATAGCAGTTATTAGTTTTGTTGAATGCACAGTGGGGCGGAGAAGCCGAGAAATATGAATGCCATAGGTAATCAAAAATTCCTGCTACTCTGCTGGCAAATCTTAAATGAAATATAAGCATGGCTTCGATGGATATCTATATCTATATATAGTATTAAATATGCCCCTATATCTATGGTATCCATAAATCCATTTAATGAAACCGGAAACATATTTACAGTAAATACAATTCTTAGTCTTAGAATATGCTAAGCTAATTCTAGCCACTGTTCCAATTCTAAAAAACAAACCAAACCATAAACGTTCCAAAACTAAATTATATATCCCAAAACAACCGCTGAAAGCAACAGTTAACACCATAATTTGCTGCACGTTTTGCCCCACTATGGCCACCGGTATACAGACCAGACCAGACCAGACCCCACCTTGTACAGTGTATGGCGCAGTGGGCACTGTGGGCCTCCAGCATGGCGACATTTGCTCATTAAGCATATTAAATAATTAGTACTTGTTGTTGTCATATTTTAAATGCTCGTTTGCGCTTGTCGAGCGCACTTCAAGAGGCTTGGCTCTCGGACTGTCCGTGCAGATACAGATAGAAATAAATATCTATAGAGATGCAGATACAAATCCGCACGTAGACCAGTTTTCCCATGCGAAGCCAGATGAGTGTGGTTTGGCCTTTAGCTTGATTTTAATTCTCACAATAAAAATTGTAATATATATATGCGGATTTAATTGAAAAGGCAATTGGTTTTATATTAGTTTATACAAATAATAAAAATAAAAAATACATACATATGTATGCTCGGTAATTGAATGGCAATTGATTGAACAACTTGAAGGTTGTGTGCGATCGAAGGTGGTCTGGTATATATTTATTATATATGAAAACATTGGGGGGATTGTTGGATAAAATATAGAAAGGAAAATTAAAATGAATACAAAAAAATATATAATTTCACTTTAAAAATTGTTTAGAGAGAAAAATCTGATTATATTTAGTCCTACAGCAGGATCTCGTAAAGCTTATCAAGTACAATTTTTATAGTTTCTTCAATAAGGGTTAAACAACACCCCAAAACTGTATTTCCTTGTGTTTTAGTGCCTTTCAACTTGTGCGTTTTCGCATTCAATAATTCTTCTAACTTATCAAAAACTCTATTAACAACTTTGTCCCCATATACACCTTCACCTTTGACGCAATCTGCACCCAAAAAGTGTGTTGGACAACAAGAACATGACACGATCTTCTTGCATGTTTACAACACTTAATGGCCGCTGACTAATCACATTTGCATGGCTCTCCTAAAAGAATGGAAACCCAGCCCAAAACGAAATGAATTACATTTGCATGTAAATTTATGCAAATTCCATGCTGTGTTGCCCAATGAGCCATTTGACACTTTTGTCCACACACCAAAGCTAAAGCCAAAGCCAAAGCAGAGTGCTTTATTAATTATTTATTGTCTAACTATTTGTGAATTATGGCAAGATATCGTTAGAGTGACAGAGAGCGAGAGAGAAATCAAAAAACTCTCAGCCTCTCAAGTGGAGTGATCTCTCTCTCTGGGCTCAAAGCATTTTCCTTTTCTTTCTGAGGTTTATTTTTTGGGTCTTGGGGCGCTTCGAACCAGTTGAGCGACATTCCATATGAGGGGCGACAGGCTTTGGTTTCGGTTTCGGAGATGGCTAAGATTAATCAGCTGCCATAAGCCAAATGACAAGACATATTTGCTGTCGCGTACCCATGCCCGTGCCCGTCCCACCAGATCCAACAGATGTGCTCTAGACTTTGGCCCCTGTCGTCCCTGGTGTGGCTTTTTGGGTTGGGGTGTTATTTTTGTGGCTTATTTGTGTTTATTTATGGCAAGGCTAGAAATGATACAACACAAAAATCCGAAAAAAATTAATTTCAAATTTGATTACAATAAAGAAAAATAAAGCCACACCGAGGATCGAAACGGATCGGTTCCACTTGTGAGCAGAGCAGAGGCAGCTTTTGATTTATTTATTTCGTCTCGTCTGGTCTCGTCTTAAAGTGTGCCAGGCCCCCATCCCCAACCCCAATCAATAGGTGTGCCTTTACCCAGTCGCAGCAGCCCAACCCAAAAAAATAATGCTGAAGAAGATTTAACAACCGCTTACAGGCCCAACCAACAGAAGAAAGAAAAAAATGTGAAATAAATTTATAGTTTTCTATTTAGATAGCTTGGCCCGTAAATTATGCAAAGCCTCCCTCTCCTGCCAAACAAAACACAAATATTATGGATGGGAATCGGAATGAGAATCGGAGAATGGCTGCTGCTGGTGCTTGGCTAGATCTTGCCCGAATTGGGTTACTTTCAACTTAATTTAAGGTCTTAAGGTTAGGCCAATAACAGCGGGCCAAATTGCGGGATGGTATGGCCACAAGCCACAGCAATAGAACGGCCCACGCCTGCTTCTGCTTCTTCAACGCTTCAATACTCCTCCGAATAACCGATCCATCCATGGAAACTGGTTTTTGTGCCTACCAACAATATGAATGGAGCTGAGGCTGAGGCTGAGAAGCCGTAGCCATCCGGAGCTCAATGCTCAATGGAAATGACAGCATACGTGTGGCCAAATAACAAAAAATAATACAAAGAATGAATTGATGGAAGCGTGGGCGATACCCGCTTATTAATTGTACATATAAAAATATATATTTATGCATATATGGTTAGAAATTTGTTGGCCAATCTCTCAACTCCTTAACTTATTTCATCCACAATTTGTTGGGAGTTTGTGTCTACGGCTAATGCTGACTGTTGTTGAAAGGTCAAACTGCAGCAGTCGACTCGACTGACTGTGTTTGAAGGAGTGGTTCCTCAATAAAATACTATATGTATACATTTTTATGACTTCCAGCTATGTCTACTACTATGTCTCTACCCCCTGTCACCCTCGCTGTCTGTCTTTCTCTAATAATTGCAAATGTGGCATGGAGACCCACTTAGAGCTGCTGCCCACACACTACACACATCAATAAAAAAAATACAAAAAATCTGTCCATGGCCATCTTGGAATTTAATTGCATTTGATATGCGGGTCTCTCTGGAAGCGTTTGGTAACACTGGAATGCAGTTTTCAGCAAAAGATTTCCCCTTATGGAAAATACTTAAATATTCGCCATATTCGCCACAATCGTTGAAAAATCAAATAAAACTGAACAAAACTATCATAAATATAACATTTCCATATACATTTTAGAGGGAAATTCCGTTCTAAGAATGCAGAATTTTATTTCCCAGATTTTATTGCCATTTTTATTATATAGACTATTGTCTACCCACACAAATAAATCATTACCATGGAAATTTAGAAGGCGAATTCCGATGCAAAACCTCTAGAGTTGGCCGTTTTATTACATTGCTTAACCAACACTGCTCAGTATTTTCCAACACTAGTACACAACACCTGTTATCGCCATACTTATAGGCATAATTCCCATTCTTTTCAGACTTTCCAGCGCCACTCTAGAAAGCTATCAAGCAGATCCAAACCATGTCGCACAAGACGAGCACACGACGCGCCACCGAACTGGAGTGTCCGCTGGCCTCCCTGGGCAGGAATAGCAATGCCGTGCGCGATCAGCTGGCGGCTGCACACTATCACCATCCGCATCCACTCAGCTCCAGTCCGCTGGATCCACAAGCCTACAAAATGTCGCGCAAGTCACCGAACCTGAGTCTGGACACCAATGATCCACTGGCATCGCGCAGCTCCACGCCGCACAGTGAACAGCAGGCCACAGCTACGACGGCGGCTGCCGTGCTCCACATGGTGCAACAGAAGGCGGCCACCTTTGAGCTGAGGGGCAGGCACACGCGCCAGGAGCAGAGCATCTACGGGGCCGCCCACTCAACAGCCTCTGTGGGTAGACAGGTCAAGAAATCGCCCGACGTGCCGGCTCCTGCCACAAGAGGCACTGCACCCGTGCCACAGCCGCGCAATTTTCTCACACTGGAGCATGTCCTGCAGTATGGAGCCCAAAGGCCGAGCTGGTTGCATGGCAACAGTGCGGATACCGAGGACTCCAGCGACAATAATGTGGGTGGCGGCGGCGGCGGAGGAAGTGGCAGTGGTGGAGGAGGAGGCGGCGTCGGTGGCAGGCGACGCACGCAAGGCGGACGTTGCAGTGTGCCCACAGTGCTGAGCAGCAACGGCGGCAGCAACGGGGCCCAGTATCTGCTGGACAAGAAGATGGAGTCGCTGTATCTGGGGAATGCGCTGCGAGCCCTGCCCCTGGGGGCCGAGGCGAGTCAGTACCAAAACGAACGCTACTACCTGGAGGACTACAGCAGCGGCAGCGGCAATGAGCGGCTGCCAGGTGAGTCATCTATTGATCTCTGAAAGAAACCAATCCTAATTGTTGCTAATCCCTTCCAGATCGCCTACATCATCCGCGCACCTCCAGTCCCAGCGAGACGAGTGGCTCGGATCGATACCTGCTGAACCGCAGCACCAACTCGCCCGCCAATGCCTTCCAGCTGGACCACCACCACACCAAAGTGCAGAGCCTCTCCGACGGCCTGTGCAATCTGGGACGCTTCTCGCCCAGCCTCGACCAGGGCTATGCCACGCTCGTCTCACCCTCACCCACCGGCCACCACTCGAGCGGAGCGGGCAATGTCACCACCTCCACGACCACCAGCGGCGGAGGTGGCATTATGGTCAGTAGTACACCCACCACAACACCACGTCGTGGGGCATCCAGTGGAGGAGCAGGAGGAGGAGGAGGAGGAGTAGGAGGCGGCGGGACTGTGCCAGGAACAGCCATCGGTCCGCCGCCCTGGAACCGCAAGGGTCCCTTCCGCTGTGGCCCATACTTTGATCGCCTGCCCGACGAGGCGGTTGTCCGCATCTTTAGCTGGCTGGACAGCTGCGAGCTGTGCAGTGTGGCGCGTGTCTGTCGCAGATTCGAGCAGGTGGCCTGGCGTCCCGTGCTCTGGAAGTGCATCACACTGCGGGGCGAGCACCTGAATGGCGACAAGACCCTGAAGATGATCTTCCGCCAGCTGTGTGGCCAGAGCTGCAATGGCGCCTGCCCGGAAGTGGAGCGCGTGATGCTAGCCGATGGATGCCGCATCTCGGACAAGGGCCTTCAGTTGCTGACACGACGCTGCCCGGAGCTGACGCACCTGCAGCTGCAGACCTGCGTGGGCGTCTCCAATCAGGCTCTGGTCGAGGCGTTGACAAAGTGTAGCAATCTGCAGCATTTAGATGTGACAGGTAAGTGGGGGAATCTCATCCTCAGCCTCTACTTTGCCATAACTAAACTTTCTCCATTTATTTGCAGGCTGCAGTCAGGTGAGCAGCATCAGTCCCAATCCACATGTGGAGCCACCGCGTCGCCTGCTGTTGCAATATCTGGATCTGACCGACTGCATGGCCATCGATGACATGGGTCTGAAGATTGTCGTCAAAAACTGTCCCCAGCTGGTGTACCTTTATCTGAGACGCTGCATACAAATCACGGGTGGGTACAGCCAGCCCCAGTCCCCTTACTGCCCCTCTAAACTCATGCTTAATCTCTTCCAGATGCGGGTCTGAAGTTTGTGCCCAGCTTTTGTGTCTCGCTGAAGGAGCTGAGCGTCTCCGATTGCCTCAACATCACCGACTTTGGCCTCTACGAGCTGGCCAAGCTGGGTGCCGCTCTCCGCTATCTGTCTGTGGCCAAATGCGAACGCGTCTCCGATGCTGGCCTGAAGGTGATTGCCCGACGCTGCTATAAGTTGCGCTACCTGAATGCCCGCGGCTGTGAGGCCGTCAGCGATGACTCCATCACCGTTCTGGCCCGATCCTGTCCGCGCCTGCGTGCCCTGGACATTGGCAAGTGCGATGTGAGCGATGCCGGACTGCGTGCGCTGGCCGAGAGCTGTCCCAACCTCAAGAAGCTGAGCCTGCGCAATTGTGATATGATTACGGATCGGGGCGTACAGTGCATTGCCTACTACTGCCGCGGGCTCCAGCAGCTGAACATTCAGGACTGTCAGATATCCATCGAGGGCTATCGGGCGGTGAAGAAGTACTGCAAACGATGCATCATAGAGCATACCAATCCGGGGTTCTGTTGAGCAGCAGCAGCAGCACGAAGGAGCAGTGTGAACGGTTCGCAAATACAAAGCAAAGCAAAGCAAAGAGGCAGGCCATAAATGAGCAAAGATTGTTGAGAACAACAACTGCACACAAATAGTTCTGTTAGCCGGGCAACGATAAATCGTAGCCAAGAAGCAGTTTTAGTTCAATGATCATCCCGGAATCCCGAACCGGTGGAATGCCCGATCAATGATCAATGATTTTAGTTGTTATTGTAAATTGTATATACCGAAACGGAAGCTGAAACAGGATTTTAGAGCATATTTTCTATAAGTAGACTAATTCTTGCTTAATAAATTATTTGCCCCGATCAAGATAGTGATACATATCGGGCATTAGATCGGTCAATTTGAGCAGAATACTTCGGGGATGCACCTCGATCTGTTCCCGCGTCAAGCGCCTGCCCCTGCCCTTGCTCTTTCCCTTGCGCACCTTGTGCAGGTGATCCAAGACAATGGTGGCCTTCACATCCTCCGCATTGACGGCTGCCTTTGTTGGCTCCAACCAGTTGCTATGATCCACATAGGGTCTAATCTCGATGCGGGTGCAATTGCCCTTGCGGAGATGTTTGCCTATGGTCTCAAGGCAGCGTATATCCTCTATGGTGGCCATTGTCTTTTTATTGATCCGCCTAATCGCTCGCTTATCGGCGTTTATCTTTACCAGTCGCCGCTCCAACTCTGGCTGGGCCATGGGCCAGGACCTTGACAGCTCCGATATCTCCATTATTTTCACCCGCTCCTCCAGCGAGTCGACGGGCAGCTTCTTCTGCAGGGCCGACACTCGCTGCCTATTCTTTGGCGTCATCCTGTGCTTGGTGCGCTCAAGGCGGTCCAGTTCTTGTCGTATGTAGTCCATCGTTTCCATCTGCTCGCTAAGATGCTCGGCCTCTTGCTGGAGGTCCGTCTGAATACGAACGCGATGGGTCTGGTAGCGACGCAGCTGATGTCGTATGGTCTGCACTTTCCGCTGCTCATAGTAGTGCTCTCGTATCAGTCGAAAGTATAATTTCTTCCAGCTGTCGTTCTTTCTGCCCATTTTTGTTAAATTTTAAATTTAGATAGATTTTTAAATCGAAACGGCACAAACATCAACAGGGCTGAAATTTTTAGGGGCCTCGTACATTGCTCACCTGGATGAAATATACCATGAATGTTAATTTTTGTGACGTCACAAACCATACCTTTATGAAGGTTTATTTGGAAAATTTTTCATGGTTGAAACCAAAAATCCCCGAATGATGTGGATTTTATCCTTGAAAGCATTGGATTTTGTGACATCATACGTCACACCTCATACACTTATCCATGCGTCGCAAACAAAGTTCAACTTCAAGTTCACAGCTTGAAACGTGTAATTACCGCGAAATTACAAATATATAACAAATGATAAACGAGTCTTGTTTTTACCATAATTATGATTGGCACTCCAACAACATCCTTTTTTAATAGGGGAAATTGTCCTTAAATGCGGTTTTTCATCAATGAGTATGCATGAGTATGAGCTGTATGTATGAGTATGAGCTGTATCTACTCATAACTCATATCTATCAATTTTAAAATAAATATATGCGCTTAAGTTTAATGTGTTTCCATTTGTCTTCACAACTTCACCGCAAAGATTGCACGATACGGAGGGCTTGTCCATTTTTCGAGCTGTTGCGCGCAGTAGGTCGATATTTTCTAAAAATATCGATTCTTGATATAGTCGGCGACAAAAATATCGTACCAATACTATCGTATTGTAATTAAACTATCACCTATATCGATACATCGATCTAATATCAACAACTAGGTTATGAACATTATACAATTGTCAAAAAAACTCGTCTGGTTGAAAACAAATACCATCGTGTATCAGATACCCGGCAAAATTCAGGTGGTACCGTGTAGACAGAACATCAATGGCTAAGTACCTTGCACAAATTATCGTTCTGGGTGCTCAGGCAGTGGGACGCGCTTTCACCAAGGCGCTCAGGCAGGAGATTGCCGCATCCCAGGAAGCCGCACGTCGAGCAGGTGGCGGCAAGCAAGGCGACAAGACCGCAGAGTCCAACCTGCGCACAGGTAAGCTGGTGAAAGCAGTTAAAGGAGAATCATGATTCACTCTGCATATATCTTCCAGGCATGACGGTTGAGGAGGCCAAGCAGATCTTGAATATTGAAGACCTTAAGAACGTGGACAGCATTATCAAGAACTACGAGCATCTGTTTAGTGTGAATGAGCGCGGTAAAGGCGGTTCCTTTTATCTCCAGTCAAAGGTCTTCCGGGCCAAAGAGCGGCTGGACGACGAACTGAAAGCCCAGCGGCCGCAGCCACCGAAAGAAGAGCCCGCGGCGTCGACAGAGGCGGAAGCGCCGCCAAGAAGGGGGCGGACAGTACGCTAATTCCTGATGTACCTCCAAACGAAAATAATTAGCTAATAATTGATTTATGAAATATGTGTTAAGTAAGAGGTCGGACCACCTGTGTGTGTTGCTGTAAATAGATTTGTATGAACAAAGTGATGTGCATTTGTTCATATTGGTCGTGTGGGTGTGCATTAACAATTGCATTAATTTAAACATTTCAAAAATTTAAATTAAGTTTCAAAGCCGGCCAGCTAGAGAAGTGCAACCAGGAACCTGGTTAACCCTTTGTCGACCCATGGTATTTCAATTTACGCGCGACTATTATGAAAGTTTAAGAATTTTACTGCAGTGCAAGTGATCACTTTAGTTTTTTAAGTTAAGAGAAAGGATGGAGATACAAGATTTACAAACAGTAAAGATTACAAACACCTCGTTTAAATTAAGGTGTTCAAATAGAGCTGGGTTAAGTGGGTTAAGTTCGTATCGATAAGTCCACTGAATCAGCTGTTCCAAACAAATATTTTCTGCGCAGTTTTAAATATTCAGACGTGTCAATTGTTTATTCAATCGCATTCATTAACAACGCCAGAAACAGCTGGCACATGCGCAGACATTAGCCAGAAATTCCAGCGCACAAAGGAAAACCTTCCACCACGAAAACGCGCTGCACAATCAGAAGTGGGTGGGCAGAAGAGGTTCGTGGATCCATTGGGGCCTTCCAGTCGCCACCGACGACGAAGACGCGAGAGAGACTCAGAGAGACGCCACGGATAAGTAAGTAAACGGTATTTGAACAACTGAAATTCCTCTGCTCTGCCAGTTTTCAGAGGACCTTCGAAGTAGGCAGCCGTAAAAACCAAAAGTTTCTATCCACTTGTCTTTGGAGCAATTCCCCCAATCCAATCCGAGAAAAAAGAAAAACCTCAAGTGGTAAATAGGCATAGCCAGGGCGTTATTATTTACTATATTGTATCCAAGTGAAATACGAACGAACGGTGGTCCCCCGCTGGCGAGATATCGATCCGAATCGTGAAATTGTGCACAATAGCAACGCATTATTCGCCCGTTTCGGACATTTATATGCCTGTTTTATTGATTTTCCCTGTCTGCCCTCTCAGGTCTCTTGTGCAACGACATATTGCGATAAAAAAAATCTGAATTGCTTTTCTTTCAATCATCTTGCAGCGTGCGAAAATAGAAATTAAATGCGAAAATTTACATAACTCCCGAGCGAGAGTTGAAAGTGAAACTTCTGTGGTGCGACACACTGAAAGAAACGGAAACAAGAACAGAACCCAATACAAAAATTTCTGCCAAGTGTAGTAAAAGTTGAGCGAAAGGAACGAGAGAGAGAAAAGCAGCACCAGCAGCAGCAAGCAGCCTTTGCAGAGAGCGAGTGTGAGAGAGAGCCGAACGTGCGCACGTTTTTTTGGTTTTCGGAGCCTCGTGGGGCATTCGTTCTGTGTACATCCACACGACACTCCACTCGGACGCAGGACGCAGCATTAGCGCACCAGCAGGCAGAGCCCCCAAGCAGGCTAATCCTTTAAAGCATCATCAACAGCCACACAAAACGCACCAAACATGTTTTCGGGTCTAACAAATCAATTTACTTCGCTGGTTGGCGCCGTCAAAGGCGGCGCTGGCGATGAGGACGTCCCAGCACCCACAGGAGATGCGGCACCTGCTGCCGTCGCACCCACCACTTCCGCTGAGGCGGTGGCCAGTGCTTCGATAGATCAGGAAGCAGCAGCTGCTGCCGCTGCCGCTGGCGGCGAGGGACTCGAAGGCGAGGAAGCTGGCAAAAGGTGAGTCCATTCAACCTTTTTACTACTGTCACACTCTCTGTACACAACTCATTTCATTCATGGATTTGCTCATCTTCCTAGCAGTCCATCTTCGCTGATTCTGCTCCTTTGGCCATTTCCATGCAGCCGTCATGATTCTGTCTCTGTGCCGTGCCGTGTCTCTGTCCTGATATGGCGTGCCATTATGACCTTGCTATTTATACCTTTTAGCATTTGGGCAACTGCAGGCCGTCTTCCCCGCCTCATCGGCCATTTATCATAGTTGAGCTGGAGTTCTTTCTGTTCTCCTCCTCCCTGCAGCAGTCTCATGCTGCTATCCATTGCATTCCGCACGCTCTCACGTGACTATACATAATTGCTTAAACTGCAAGCCAAAAGCCCGATAAACTCCGCATACGGGTCGGATATAATATATATATAGAGAAACTTTGATTTATTTCGATTGTGTTGCCTGCCCCAAAACTTTGATTGCAACAAATTCCTGCCTGTGTGTGCTGCAAATGCAAAGAAAATTAACTAAATTGGCTTGTGGTTGGAATTGAGAACAGAAATGAAGATTTCCTGAGGTTTTCTTTGATTATTCAATTCAAAGAGTTGCCATTTTTAAATGGGCTTTATATATTCACATAGACTTGCACATATGTAGATTTATGGTATATTTTGTGCGTTTATTGTTCGATTGTACCTTTATATTTCATTACTAACCGATTGGTCATGCCACAGATACGTTTTATCGGTCAAATACTGAGAGACAATGAAAAGATTGGTTATTTCTACATTTTTGAATGGAGTACTTGAGCAAATGTGTCTTGCTATTCCAATCTTGTTTCTCTATGAAGAAAACGGCTACTGAAGCTGTTAAAAGGGAAATTTGATTTGATTTAAGTCAAGTTTTGGTCAACCTATTTAAATGATGGATTTCCATGTAGATAACTAAGATATAAGTTTCCCTAAATTATTCTATTCAAAATTCGTATTTTCTCTGCTTTTCAATTAACAAATTTAGTCAACCAAATTCGCCTTCGCTTCTTAGTCAATTCTATGACTTCCTTAACCGAAAAATGAATGATTGTTTACCTCTATTTACGCCACTCTCCACCATACTCATTTGACCTTTTCCAATCTGTTTGTATCGGACACTTCATCAATCTCTGGCAAACATTCCGCACCCAAAATTGTGTGCCCTAGCGCCTCCTCAATTAATTCTGGGTAAACATTGGCACCTTAGACTGCTACGATAGCTCGCTCTTCCTAGTTCCTTTTCCGTACACAAATGAAATTAAATCCAATTATTTTCGTTATTGCTTTTTTTTTTTCTGTTGTACAAGTTAAGCTTCATGTGATGGCCGTGGTAATGCCACAAGTTGCTGTCTAATCCTTTAGACAAGCCAGCTCCGCCCACACTCCATTACCATTGCAGCTATTTTTCACTTAATTTCGCGCATTAATATTTAATTGTGTGTGGAGCCGAGCTAGAGGATGTCAAGCCCAAAACGATAAAAGGGGGTGGCACGTTCTGAAGCCAGCTGCCAACAGCTGGTGCCAGACGACATTCTGGTTAGTGGCCGTCTCTACTCTCCTTCGCTCCTCTGTTTCCTTTGACTTTGATGTGGATGTGTCACACGGCCTATTCCACGTCCTGCAGCCCCGAAGGACCCCCTGCTTTCGCTATCAATTGACATTGACAAGTTGGACAAGCTTCTCTGCACGTTCGGGGGTTTTCATGTTTTCATGCTTTTTTGCTACGCTTTGCTCCGCTTTTCGTTGCTTTTGTTTTGTTGGGTAAAATAATTTTGCACGTGGCTTATGCATAACCACAAAATGTTGAGTCATTCGAGCAGAGGGCTCTCCCGCTGTGACCGGGACCCGCCTCCTCTCTATCTCTCTCTCTCTGCTTTGTAAAAAGTTCAGTTTTTTGACCAGCTTTTTGTGTGTGCGAAAAACTGTCACCAATGTCAGCCAGACCCACAGCCAGAGCCAGATGGCCGATGGTGGGGGCGGTGGGCAGGCAGGATGTGTTCCTTTTTGGTGGTTGCTTTCCAGTTTCCAGTTGACTTTTGCTCGTTTTGTGGATCGATACAAAGAGAGAGAACTGCTACACGCTCTCTCTCTCTCTTCTCTTCGTCGTTCTCTCTGCAAAATGTGCACATGTGATGTAGCCCCCAAAAAACGAGTAAAGACGACGCCATCTGCCTTGGCCTCCTGCTCTGCTCCACTGGCTCTCCCTAGAACGAACTTCCGCTGCCCCCCTCCCCACCATTCTGTGGTCCGCCTTTTGTCAGCCTATTTAATAATTGTGAATTCAGAAAACGTGTGTGTGCTGATGGGCCCGTCCCCCCATCTATGGAACAGCAATCACCGCTAAATCTCTATAATTTTCAATGAATTAATTTATTTAATTTTCCCTGTCATGCATAAAGTGTGCCCTCATTAGAGCAACTCCCACGAATTTGGGCCAAAATCGATTGGTATTCAATTAAAAATTGGCAGCAAATAGAACAGCGCAATATTTTTGCAATCAAAAAGTGCTCAAGGGAAATTGATACAGGCGATTATACGCAAAATTTGTTCGCTTTAAATGAGGAATACTGGATAATATTATGCGCAGAATTATACATTTAAGTGTGGGAATTTAAATGGGGAAAGACAGAGTATGTATTCCGTGTGGAAATTCGAAATGCAATCTGCGCCCCAATAAGCATGCTACGCATTTTGCACTGCAATCAGGAAACCAGAATTTCAAGGGAAATCGATATGAACCAGAGTTTCCTCTGGCAATGGATTCCATGGAAATGTAATTACCGAATTGCATTCCCCTCTAAGTTTTAACCCCAGAATTCCTTCACCTGTATTGCTACGCTCCTCTGCATTCGTTTCTCATTTTTATTTCATTTGTGCTATGCGCCAGGGCCAAAGTTGTTGGCGCTTTCAAGGACATTTACACTATTTGCACTTGCACTTGCTCCTCTCTGTTGCTGCACGAGCGTACGGATGTGTGTTCTCTGTTTGTGTGTGTGTGTGTGCTGTGCCCTTGCCTTTGTCTAAAATTATGCCAAAAATAGAAGGCAAGAGCAGGCTTTGGCTATGGCTACGGCTATAAAATAAACCCAAAACAAGACATTTCTCATCTGGTTTTTAGCTCTCCAATTTCTTGGCAAATAAAAAGCAGGACACAACGTGAGGCGATGCATTTTTAACGCCGCTTGACACAATTTACTCATGTCACATGTCCTTTAAAAGAAGCGTCCGAGTAAGAGGCAACTCTTGATTGCCTCGGACAAGGAATAACGCAAAATATGAAACTTTTTTCTGCCATTTCGTGTTCATCATTAAAACAAGACTCA